TTTAATATATTGCCGATAAAATTGAATTTATATCATACATTCTTTTAAATTTATTGAATATTTATTTAGTAAATATAGCTAATAATATTACTTTAACCAGAATAAAAATATTTATTAATTAATACAATAGAATTTATACTTATGTATATTTTTAGAAAGGACAATTAATAGTAGATCAGAGAAAGAATTTAAAATTATCTATTATTAAAATTGAACTTGCGAATTACGTCACGTTAATAAAAGTATAATTATATTTTGATAATCTTTTTAATAAAAATAGGTTGTGACAACATTTCAATTGCCTGGCTGTGAAGATATGTGGACTGTCATTGGCATCTTAAATAATGATGAAATCAGAACAGAAGAAGGATCTCATGCTTTCTTGATATTAAGTCAAGAAGATTCAACTATGGTATAATACTTTCAACATATTTATATATCCTCTATAAATTATAATTAAGCCTTAATTTATAATACAATTTATTCAATTTAGGTTCTGCAAACTGGTCAAGAGATTAATGAGGTAGATCAGAGTGGATTCAGTACACAAGGGAGTACAGTATTTGCTGGTAATCTTGGTGCTAATCGGTACATTGTACAAGTTACTCAAATGGGAGTGCGTCTTTTACAAGGCATCGAACAAGTATATACATTGATCCTTATTATTATTATTATTATGAACAAATTATATCTAGTAATAAAATATTCAATATCTATCATTATCACTAATCATAGACTAATAATAGTTTACGCAATATATTTGAATATGAATGTGAATATTTCATATGTCTCATTCAATGTAAATTTTTTAAATGTGGAAGTAAAGTAAATGACATATTCATATTAATTTTGTGTGCATTTCTTCATTAATTTAATCGCTAAATATATGATAACATTTGTATTTTCATAATACTTATATTTTCTTTTTGATTTTATTAATTACAGATTCAACATATGCCCATAGATCTTGGATGTCCAATTGTACATGCAAGTTGTGCTGATCCATATGTAGCATTATTGTCGGAAGATGGACAAGTGATGTTATTGACATTGAGAGAAGTAAGAGGTACAGCAAGATTGCATGCTCAGACTGCCAATCTATTATTTGTAAGTTTCTTAATTTTATAATTAATATTACATAAATGTTATGAAATATTCTTAATATTTGTATATGTATATGTTTAGCGTCCTCAGATAGAAGCATTATGCGCTTATAGAGATGTAAGCGGGATTTTTACAACGCAATTATTTGAGAACGCAGATGATGAACATACTGAAGAAGAATACAATGTAGAGGAACCCTCTGTACTTAGCAATATCGACAATGAAGACGATTTATTATATGGCGATGCTCCAGCATTTCAAATGCCTGCACCATCATATCTAAAAGCATCGGATGGTACTACTAAAAAACCACCTTGGTAAAATTCCTATTTAACCACTCGTTATACAATGCATTTCTAAAATGATGAATTTGATCAAACTTTATTAACTTTTTTTTTTATTAAATTAGAATATTACAAAAAAATCTAATAATTTTTAAGCACATTTTACACCTCTGATATTAAAGAACCATGTATTAATATTTTTATAATATGGATATTTTTATAATATGGATTTTCATATAATAGGTGGCAAAGGCATTTGCAAGAAATTAAATCTACATATTGGTTACTTGTATATAGAGACAGCGGAACGCTGGAAATTTATTCTTTACCTGATTTACGATTATCTTATCTTATTCGTAATTTTGGTTATGGCCAGTATGTATTACACGACAGTATGGAATCTACAACTTTACAATCAAATCCAATCAATGAGATCCCTCATCCTGATATGCAGGTAATTTATCTATAAATGTGTTTTTGTAGAAATCCTAAAAAACTTGTGTTCTTAATAATATCTATTTTTATAGGTCCGTGAAATTCTGATGGTTGCTCTAGGACATCATGGAAATCGGCCGATGCTCTTGGTACGTCTCGATTCAGATTTGCAAATCTATCAAGCTTATAGATATCCAAAAGGATATCTAAAATTGAGATTTAAGAAATTGGACCATGGAATTATCCCAGGACGTTTAAGGTTTGATTAACTCTAATATAATATATGATATACTACATTTTCTAATATATAAAATAATATAATTTTAATATTTTAATATTTAGAAAGAGAATATATATAATTATACTATATACATTAGTTAATGTATTAAAATAACAATTATTTGTATCAAAATAAAGCATATAATGAAGCTTCTTTACTTAAATTATTGCTTTTAATTGAATTTCCTTTGCAGTCCAAGACCCAAAGAAGAAGATATTCCAAGGAACAGGAACATCACTCGCATCTGTGTCATGCGTTACTTCAGCAACATTGCCGGATATAATGGAGTATTTATCTGCAGCGATTATCCACATTGGATATTTTTGACCGGACGCGGTGAATTACGCACACATCCAATGGGCATTGACGGTCCTGTTACATCTTTTGCGCCTTTTAATAATATTAATTGCCCTCAAGGTTTTCTGTATTTTAATAGAAAGGTACGGTATATTTTATAATAAGACATTAGAAGGAAATAAGATGACACACAGATGTTATTTTCTAGGAAGAGTTAAGGATATGTGTTTTACCAACTCATTTGTCATACGATGCTCCATGGCCAGTTAGGAAAGTCCCTTTGCGATGTACTCCTCATTTTGTTACATATCATCTTGAAAGCAAGACTTATTGTGTTATAACAAGCACAGCTGAACCTCTGAAAAGTTACTACAGATTTAACGGCGAAGACAAAGTACTGACAAAATTATGTTCTTTATTTCAATTTTCCAGAATATTTATCAATATCTATTCATCAATATCTATTTAAATATCAGAGGCGATATTAAAAATTAATATTAATAAATACGTTTTTTTATTAATTAGGAATTTACAGAAGAAGAGCGTCTAGAAAGATTTCTTTATCCGTCTCAAGAACAATTTTCTATTGTACTATTTTCTCCAGTTTCATGGGAAACTATTCCTAATACGAAAATCGAGTTGGACCAATGGGAACATGTCACTTGCTTAAAGAATGTATCTTTGGCTTATGAAGGAACGAGATCTGGTTTGAAAGGTTACATAGTATTAGGAACAAATTATAATTACGGCGAGGATATCACAAGCAGAGGACGAGTAAGTTATATATTTATATTGAAAATATCTTTAAGCTTTATCAATTTTTAATGTGAACTTATTTTTTAAATTTTCAGATACTTATATTCGATATAATTGAAGTAGTACCTGAACCTGGCCAGCCATTAACCAAAAATAGATTTAAACAGATTTATGCAAAGGAACAAAAGGGACCAATAACTGCTATAACACAAGTATCAGGATTTTTAGTGTCAGCTGTTGGACAAAAAGTATTATATTCCTGTTAAATTTATTTGTATAAGAATTATATCTATTGTAAATAGCATTTGAAAAAATTGTTTTGTTACAGATTTATATTTGGCAATTAAAAGATAATGATCTTGTTGGGGTTGCTTTTATCGATACTCAGATCTACATTCATCAAATGCTTAGTATAAAAAGTCTAATTTTGATAGCTGATGTCTATAAATCCATTAGTTTATTGAGATTTCAGGAAGAATATAGAACACTTTCTCTTGTCAGTAGAGTGAGTATTATTTATTAATTTTTAATTTATATGCATTATATATTTTGAAAAATTTTGCATTTAAAATAATTTATTCTATTACAGGATTTTAGACCTGCGGAAGTATATACAATAGAGTATTTAATTGATAATTCAAATTTAGGTTTTATCGTAGCTGATGGAGAGAGCAATTTAGCATTATTTATGTATCAACCGGAGTCCAGAGAAAGTCTGGGAGGTCAAAAATTAATTAGAAAGGCGGATTTTCATTTGGGACAAAAAATAAACACTTTCTTTCGTATTAAATGTCGAGTTACTGATCCGGCAAATGATAAAAAACAATTTTCTGGCGCTGATAAAAGACATGTTACTATGTACGGTAAGTCCAAATATATATATTTTAAAAATAGCGATAATAGAATATTTTTAATATTTAAATATTTTTATGCGAATCTCTTTTTACATTTTAGCATCTTTAGATGGTAGCCTTGGTTATATTCTGCCAGTTCCAGAAAAAACATATCGGAGATTACTTATGTTACAAAATGTATTGGTTACACATATCTGTCATATTGCAGGCTTAAATCCGAAAGCTTATCGGCAAGTTTTAATTATAATTATATATAAATATATTTGCTAATTATTTCACTTGCTAATTTAATTAATAATTGAGAATATTATTATCTTTTCTTTTATTTAGCACGTATAAAAGTTATGTACGAAATCAAGGAAACCCAGCAAGAGGTATTATTGATGGTGATTTAGTTTGGCGTTATCTTTTTTTACCCAACAATGAGAAAGCAGATTTAGCAAAGAAAATTGGTACGCGAGTTCAAGAGATTATCGAAGATATTATCGAAATCGATCGACAAACGGCTCACTTTTAATTGCAATTGTATTATATTTATGTAGCCAATCTATTGTTTTTATATTTTATATTTTTACATTAAATAGCATAAGATATCTTTTAACCATGACTATATTTCAATATATACTACCAGTACTAAAAATCCATAGTATAGCGTAACGTGAACTATAGATTTTAGTATCGTATATTGAAATGCGGCCTCTAAAATATGTATGTACATCCTGAAATTATCACAACATATCCTGCAATTGTTTAATTCATGTATCATGTATTATTGATTGCATCTAAATTATTACAATTTAATATCAAATAATAATATACACATAATTTATTAAATAATACAGGTACAATTTATCTAATTTTATTATATTTTATAAAAATATGAATGAATATTCATGATTTTTTGCCATATAGGCTGTAACAAATTTATTTATGCAAAATTAAGTAAGCAATAGAAATATTATTTGCATTACTGAGGACATATCTTTCTAAATGATTCGACCCTCTATATCGCCCAGAAAGAGTATCGTCGAAAGACGATTAACTGTACGAAGAGAAACTCAAAAATGTACGTACTAGTCAAAGATTTTGTAATTAATATGTACAAATGTAAAATAAAAATTTCTCAATTTTTTAAAACAAATATATGACTCATGTGGAGATAATTATGTGAAAAAGCTCTATTATAGACTAAGATTTCCCAGAGATTATAGTTTCATATTATTTATTGATCAAACAATTCTTGAAAGCTAATCATATTGAGTTCCTTAAAGTTGTTCTCTACTTTCTATTTCTTTTTAAAAAATTTCGAAATTAGATTTTCTAAAATAACAGTAAGTATATCTCAATATTATTTTTGTATCAATTTAATAATTAATATTTAATAATTTTTATATTATATACTTAGTGATTATCGAACCATCATTATTAGAAAAAAGACTTTATGAAGCATTTGATGTGTTTGATAATGCTAGGATTGGAGAAGTAAATGTTAGAGATTTGGGAACTATAATTAGAGCATTAGGTAATGTTCACGATATAAAAATTCTAATAATTTTATACTTTTCTTTTGTAAAATACGTATAATTCAAATTCTTTTATTATTTATTTAACAGGATGTGTTATCACAGAAGCTGAGTTACAAGAAATTCAAGTAGAAGTTGAAGATGTCGAGAATAATTGTGTGCCAATAAACAGATTTATAGAATACATGAGCAAGGCAATCAGTGAACGCAAGTACAGTTAATAAATAACATTTTTTTCAAAATGAGTATAACCAATGAGTAAAAACAAATATATGATCGAAAAATGGATAACATAATTTATATTTGTTCGGTATCTAGGTTCAAACCAGCAGAACCAGAAGAATTATTGAAAGCATTCCAATTATTAGATCCTGAAAATCATGGATATATCATGAAAGAAGATTTAGAGAAATCAATTATGGAAATTGGAGAGCCATTTACAAAAGAAGAAGTGGCCGATATGATGGCCGTAGCTTGCGACGCAGAAACTGGAAAAATTAATTATGAACATTACATCAATTTGCTAATCGTGTGTAAAAATATAGATTTATTTCTAATATTGCTAAGATTCCTTTCGACAGGAGTATACACTTTTTCTGAAAGATTTGTCGTATTATTGAATCTAACATTTGATCTTCATCTAAAATATACAAATTATAGGTAAAAATTCCCAAAGACATTAATGTATATAATATTGTTGATGAAATGGAAGCTACGAAATTGGCAGAGGAGCTTGCTCTAAAGAGCAAATGGGAAAGCATTTTATTTCAACAAGATGCTGACCTGACATAAAAATATATGTATTATTTTAGGAAGTAATTTTTATAAAAGAGGGATATCAGTATAAAAAATGTTAAAATCTGTGATTAGAAAAATTACATAAAGTTATTCTATATTTTATAATATAAATACATTTTCAAAAAATACATATATCATTTTTATACCTAACATTAATATAACATTAATATAACATTGATATAAATAATATCGATGTGACATACATTGGAAATATCAAGAACATTAAGTTCAAGAATGAAACAATTTATAACTTTGAAAATATTGGAGGATCACCTTTAACAGCCTGTGCCATAGCTGCATTCAAAAAATCTTCACTCTGAAGCATTGCTTTATTATGCATCGCCTATTGAAACAAATTCCAAAATGTTATTAAAACAACTTTTCAAGTATAAGAAAATATCTCATATATTTATAGCAAACAAATAAATTTTTTATTGCATTTCAGGTGGAATAAAAGCACTTACAATGTGATCTAATCCTTCTTGGACAGAATGGTCTCTAGAATATACCAAACTCATTTTTGAACCTTGCACTGCAACTGGACTCTTGCTTGCAATATCTTCAGCAACTTCTATTGATTTATTCAATAAGCTGAATAGAGAATATAAATAATGTCATTAAAATTCACATCGCTCTATTTGAATAATCATTACAAATTTATATTTCTTGTATTTAACTTCTTATTTCAATATATTTATTATTTTACCTCTCCTCGTTATCTAACATGCGACTTATGAATCCACTTTCTAGTGCTTCAGCAGCTGGATACTTTCGTGCTGTATAGACAAGCTCTCTTACCAAGCTGTCAGATCCCACAATTTTTGGAAATCTTTGAAGTGTACCTACATCAGCTGCCATGCCTATATCAAGTTCCTTTATTTGAAAATATGCATTAGAAGAAGCATAACGTATATCAGCTGCAGATATCATGTCCATGCCAGCACCAATACAAGCACCATGTATAACAGCTATCACAGGTTTCGAACACTATTAAAATTATCCTGTATCATTACTCTGATCATACAAGTTAAAGAGATATAATGAAACATTCTCTGAGTGAAAAAAAAACTAGAATATATATTATAAAATACACTAATTATACTTAATATATGTTTATGAATTACATTAATTATCTTTATAAATAACAAATTACCTTTTCTATAGCAGTAAATGAATCTTGATAATCCTTAATTTTAAACTCTATTAATTTAGATCTGCGTGCAATATCCTCCTGTTCTGCTAAGCTTTGACTCATATCCATCATTCCTTGCAAGTCAATTCCTGCAACATCAGATTGTCATATTATTAAATAAACTTTTTTTCAGGATTTAAATGAATATGTAATACTCTTTATAGTTATTTTATGATTTACCCGCACAAAATGTCTTGCCAGCAGCTGACAGAATAACTACTCTACAATCTGGATTTATTGATAATCCCTCAAAACATTCCTTAAATTCTCTAAATGAAAATAATTCATGAGAATATAAGAGAATATTTTTTTACAGTTTAATTATATGACAAGAGTGATAAGAGATCACCTACTTCCACATAGTTGAATTCATTGCATTTAGTTTCTCTGGCCTGTTCAACTTGACCATGTAAACAAATGGTTTTGGAATAGTTACTACTAATGTTTTATATGTCGGTGACATCTCCATAGAATATCTCAGTGCAGAAGCAGCTTGTAAATCTGCAAGATATCAGTAATAAAGACAAAATTATCACATAATAGCTAGATTTCTGTAACTAAAATTTATATAATAGAGAAAAATTCGTTTTAAAAACTGTTTAATTTAAAAAAACAACAAAAAAGAAGAATTTGATCATATAATTCATTAAAGATATATATATTATTGAAGGTTTTTAAAACAATATGTTAAATAGTTTTGAAAAAACTATTACCTAAGCAGAAATATGAATGACATTAAAATGATCACTAAATGTGATTTTTCAAATATTTATGATTCATTTTAATGTAATTTTATTATTGTTGTGACTTGGTCTAATTAAGAAAGGATATTAATTATGTAACTATGTAACTTACATTTTCCTAATGATCCCAAACTATTCTTGATGATATTTATTGCCATGTCCCAAATGTTCGACAGAAATAAAATACAATAAAGTATGAAGCTAAAATAAAGTCTAAAAAGTACAAAGTACAAAGTGCAAATATACTTCTACACATGCAGTGACACACTAATCAATTACATGTCCGAATGTTTCGATAAAAAGTGAGAAGATTGTGTGCTTGAACTTTTTGCCCTCAGCATCTTCGCTTTCTCTCTTTTTAATGTTCAAATATACATCTATCTTATTTTAAGTTCAAACATTTTGGGGGATTTCAAGCAGCACGAACAGACCAAGGCTGGATTCGGGGAAACGCTAGAGACCTTTTCATACGCAGCACGCTGCGGCAGCAAAAATGTCATGTGATGCCAATTTTTCATAATTGCTTCCACTGCATTTGCTGTGCATGAAAAGAAATGACAACAGCATATGTATCAAAGTTTAACCTCAAATATGTATTTTTTATTTGCTCAGCTCGAAAATTAATACGAAAAACTTAAAAAGGTAAAAACTTGTGTTTATATGGCAACTATTAAGGAATCAGAAACTTTAAGATTGAAGATTAAAAGATTGAAATTTGACCAATCAGAACAAAAAGAGACAAAACTTCTTTGTTCTCATTGGTGAAATTTCATCTTTAATCTTTAATCTCAATCTTCAATGCATAGTCTAATTCCGATCTTAGTGCGATTACAATTTGGACAACTATCAGTTCAAGTAATTATTTAGAATTTAGAATATCCCCATCACTTCAATTCTTAATAAAAAATGTACTCATTACATGTACATATTATAAATGTATTCAATTTTCACATTTTTTGCAATCTTTCTCGGTTTCGAGTTCTTTGCTGCTTGTTGTTCGGTTGAACTTCAATGATGCGGCAAAATGTATTTTATGTTGGAAGTCATCTCATGTAAAATTTCGAACACATCACGGGTATCTCAGTGTATCCTTATCCTTGTTTAACATTTATGTACTAATTAGTAAGAGGCTTCGCATAATAAAAAGAACAGGGAACAGAGAACAGAGAATAAGAATTTTAACCTATCGGAAATGTATTTTGTAAGATACACAGTTTCTGATAGATTGAAATTCTTATTCTCTATTCTCTGTTCCTTTTATTGTGCAGAGCCCCTAACTTTCTATTAAATTATTTTAATTTCAGTAATATATTCAAAGAATGATATACTAAATTGATATAATATGCATTAAAATGATTAATCACAATCATGTATTGTGGAAAACATAGTTTCTGATAGATTGAAATTCTTATTCTCTGTTCCTTTTATTGTGCGGAGCCTCTTACACATATCTCGAATCAACGAATTTTCTGAATTTCTCTTCAAGAATAAGGATATATCACACAAATTTTTTTTTTCTAAAATTAATTCATTTAAATGAATATATAAAATAGTTCTTAATATTCAGACCATAGTGGCGCTTCGTATTTAAAGTAATGTATTTAATATAAACAGTCTTATTTCCAATCTTATTAAATGATATAGATAAATATATTGCAGTCAAGAAATGGAGATATTTCTTATTCATTGGCAAAAAATTGAGTCGGGCGTTTTATATTATTCTTATTCATTGACAGAATTACTCTTTAAACATTTTTTCAAACTTAAAGATTAAGCGTTTATGGCTCAGGAATTTAGGACATTAAAGGTTTAGAATTTAGAAGTTTTTGATTCAATTTTCTGCCAATGAATAAGAAATATTCTCATGAAAGAAATATATCTCCACTTTTTGACTGCCATATATTTATGTATATCATTTATTCAGTTGTTACCGAAACTCCGAAAATTCAATTTGTCTCATATCTCAGCAAAAAAAATAATATCGAAATATAATATTAAAACAATATGGGTTTGAAGGTAAGAATTAGTACTTTCATATAAAATTAGTACTAAGCTAGGTATAATGCGGCAGAAACTTGAATGTATTTAAAAAAAGCGTTTTTTGCAACTTTAGAATGCAGAATATCTCGAAATCCTGATTTAACGTGAAAAACTATTTAGAAAATTGCTGCTCCAATTTTTTTTTCTTTTTAGATCCTTCATTTCGCAGGCTTTGTAACCGATATTTAGTATAAAACATTAGCAACATTTAACTGAAGAAAAGTTTGAAGATAAAAGCGTATCAATTAATGAAGTCTAAAATTATTTTATTATTTATAAATTTTTTGTTCACTGAGGATGGTTCTGTGAGAACCAAAACGTTTGGAGTATTTTATATTGTGAAATTAAAAATTTAATTGCACTGTCATCGCATGCTAAGCTCATTGTCCTTTCACAGACACTCATTATTTCAAATGAAAGATTAATTATAAACGTCAATTATAAACATGAAAAATATAAATGTAAGTCATTAATCAAGAAAAATATAAGATATTTATTCAACATAAATTAAAAAAATGTATATATTAGATAACATTTATCATACATTGTCACATCTATAATAAGGAAAAAAAAATGATAATTCAATCACATAAAATGGCCATCAGTAATAACATAAATTTAACATATAAATAAAAATGATATTATAAAATAACTATAATACCTACAAAATAAATTTTGCTTTAATCTCAAAAATAACTTTATCTCCAACTTAGTATTTTTGTACATAATTTTTCTGTTTGAACTATCAGCTAATATTGCAGCTTGTTCCCCTCGTCTTACTTCCAAAAGCTGATGATATATTCTTGTTCATATTTTTTGTAGCACTCACAGTTACTAATAATTGTTTTATATGCATTGACATAAATCGAGATATTAATTTGTCCTTAATATAATGACAAATGCTTAAAGGAGGATGTTTCAAAGCAGTATGAAGATATTAAACTGTCATTCAGGGACTTGTCTAAAAGAAATAATTTGGACTTGATTTTCCATATAATTCTTTCTGCCTCTTTAAGAATATCAAACACTATTAATTCTTATTTGAGCTCCAGGAATATAATTTGAAATAGCTATAAAGGCAAATAAAAAGGATGTAAATGTCAAATCGGAATTATCTTGCAATTTTAGGTAATAAAAAATCTTTACGTTGATGAAATTCCTCAATTTAAAAACAACATATCCATATATTTTATAAAGTATTTGTTGTATAGTCTTTGACATAGGCAATCATTTAATTTAGGGAAATCGTAAGTGTTTCTACAGTTTGTTCTTTTTCATTTAATTTAATTAGAAGTGCATTTAAAAGAGAAGGTTTCATATGTATAACTAGAGGTAGGTATTGCGTGATTTCCTGCTATATATCTTAGGATATGATCATGTGATGCTACAAACTTTAAAGCGTTTTTTAGTCAATTTGTAAAATTCTTTTTTTTTATTGGTCCATCAAACGTTTCAAAGCATTTGTAGCGAGACTGATCATGGCCTTAGTCTGTATTTAAACTGAAGAACTGTTGGCTTGGGGCATGCTCTATGTATGTTTCAAAAACCACTTTTCAATCTTTTATCTTGACTTGCTCTTCCGGAAAAAAGAAATTTTCTCATTTAAAAGACAGTCTTGTAGCTGAATCATTGATTTTGGTATCACTAGAGAGAAAAATATTACATGGGTTTGAGATGATTTCTATGAATCACAACTTTCGTATTTTTGAAAATATGACATACTAGTTTTAGAAGAACTATTATATCATTATATTATATTATATTATTATATTTTTGAAAAATTAAAGCATAACGAAGATTTCTCTTGATTATTACATCAAACCCTAATCAATCTGATAAACTAGGCTGTTGTTTCCATTTGTGGAAGTTCATCACTTTTTTGGATTAGAAATGTTAATACAGATGCAGTGAAATAATAATTTATAACTCTAGTTGAATTTGTAACTTTTGTTGTTGACCAAAATTGTTTGGTCTTAATACTGTTTTGCTTAATTTAGGCACAAATTTGATCTCCATACAATTTTGAGATTGATATAAATCTAATTTATGGATTATCATCAACAACATTACTAGGTAAATTATAGAGTTCTACATCTTGTGTAAGTAAATTGATTTTCCATAACTATTTCTTTCAAATTTTTAAAAACATGAACAGGATCTAAAATCAACTGCAGCATGATCTCTAGATCACAAGGATGTTTTTGTACATCATATCTGTCTTGGTAGTTTTAAATCCTAATTTTGTGAGTAATCCTCTATTTCCCATATCACAAATCAAACAATTACTTCCAAATCTATACGATGGCATTTTTGGAGTATTTTTAAAATAACCTTTTTAATTGCATTATTTACTGAATAAGATGAAATAAAGATAAGAATAAGATGTGATGGAATAAAGATAAGAATAAGATGTGATGGAATAAAGATAAGAATAAGATGTGATAAGCTACTGCTTTCAATGAAAACTAAGCCCAAACATTTGAAAGAGTAAAGCTTTACATACTAATTTATTTGTATTGCCAGGCAATGTCACATTTCCAATATATGCCCTTATACTTGTACAATATTAAAATCGATTTACTTTTTAATTGCCATTTCATCATATACTAGTCCACAGATGATTTTTCATGTAGGTGGAATATGAGGAACTCCAGATATTTAAAAACATCTTTAAATATTCCAGGTTCAAATTTAATCTGCTGTATGTATTTCTCAGAGTTCTTAATGAAGGAAATAGAGCAACAAGTTTAATTATATGATTATAACCATGTGATCCACATACAAATTTAATCCTTTTTTTGATTGTTTCATCTGACTACTTGGAACTTCTTATGATATCATTTACAATTGCTCGTTGTTAATCTTTATTCAAAATTATATTGATTATTTCAGTAATTTTTTTCAATATTTTTTCTTAAGTCTACTTTCTTAACTCTACTTTTTAAGGTATTTTTTCTTTTTTCGTTTCTTTTGCCATTTTTAATTTTTCTTTTAGTATTCTTTTTTTTTCATATTCTTCTGGACTAGATAAACTCTCCGTCAATATTTGATTTTCAGTACATTCTGATGATATATGTATGTCTAGATTAGAATTTGATCTGTAATTTTCCTCTTCAGATTATTGATATGTCTCCAATGTATTTATATTAATGGGTTTTTTCATTATAATACAATGTGTAGTATGAACATACTTCTTACGTGACTCAATAGATTTTCTTTTTTTTGAAAGAGAAAAATAATTATGTTCTTGCAATTCATCAATTACATATTGTTCTCTATTGCATCTCTTTTTTTCTTGCTTCTGAGAATTTTCTGTAGCAACATATGAATGATCACTCCTTAATTCTGTTTTTTTGTGAGAAAGAAATTCAATTGATTCATTATATTGCTGTTCTGGTTGAATTTCTGCAAGGGATTTTCTTTTTATATGTTGTTGACATTTGCAAAACAAACTTGGTATAGCACCTTTCCTTATAAGTTTTTTGCTACCAACGCGAAATAATTCTGATGAATGAAAATGGACCTAAAAAATAAGAGATACACATTAGAGAAAAATATATGTCTCATCAACTATCATTAATGTAACATTAATATAATTTTTCACGCAATTATGTAACCGTTACATAGATTCGTATTATATTGAATTTAATATATTGATATTGAGTAAGAAATTATAACATTGATATTTTTGTTGGTGTTTATGAAAGTTATAAAACATTTGTATGCACGTTTCGGTACTAACCTCACACAATACAGCTGATTTTGAAGGTTTCCAATCAGGAATTCCGGCAGCATCAATCCATTTTTGTTTCAATTTAGGATCTTGGGCAAACATTGTGCAGCAATATCCATCTTTATTAGAATTCGTGCATCTTGGAGCACTGCATGTGGTAGGCATTTTATAATATGCACAAAATGTGAACAATCCTGTTCGAATCTGAAAAATAAAAAATCGTTTTATTTCATGTATATATGTACTTACAATAGAAGAAGGTATATATTTTCAAGATTAATAATATATGTCTTACAAAGATTTTATCAGTCAATTATAAAATTGAAGAGAAAACTTGCAATCAGAAGCATAGTGTAAGATGTAAAAAGCAAGATGTAGCATTCCTAATGTTGCGCACTCGTTCAATTTCTGAGCCAATCAACGCGTGACCCATTTTGCAAGCAATATAATATCCGTTGCATACATCTGGTTAAAACTAGGATAGTTGTGCAGAAAAAATTGTGTGTTCTGGTTTTGTTTATCTTTCAAAAATCATAAATTTTGTTTACTATTTACTTTATTTATTTATTAAAATTATTTCCTGTCATGGTTTATAATTACGTAAATTTATTTGTTTATTTATTTATTCCATTTTTCCTGCCTTATTTGGGTTATGTAGGTTTAATTGTCATTAATGATTTTATTTATTAAATTTCTATTTCTCCTTTCTAGCTGTTACATTTAATATTTTATAAACATACCTTAAATTGTTTATTTATTAGGGAGTAAATATTTTTAGATTAAGTTTTCTGTCATTCACATTTAATAATAATTAATATTATGTAATTACGATGTATATAATTCTAACAACAATCTAGCAAACGAGAATGGATTAAAATGAATTGAAATTTTTTTCTATCCGAATGCGTATTTTATATAGCGAATACTTTTTTTGGGATTTAATTGAATTCAATTGGATTCAATTAGATACAATTGGATGCAATTGGATTGAAAAACTGTATTTCCTACTCAAATTTTGAATTAAACAGTATTCACAATTGCACAGAAAAAGCTAATATTATTTTTAGATTAAAAGACAAAGAGATATATATGCTCTATGCAATTTCTATAAATGAATAAAAATGCATTCAGAATTGAGAAGCATTCATTTTAACATTCGTGAATCAATATTTCTGAAAATCTGAATCTATTTCAATTCATTTCAATCCATTCTGTTTGCTGGGAAGTCAAAAGTTTCGTGAATTATGTAATTACGAAATTACATATTTCGTTTAATAATTATTGTATTTTATGAAAATATTTACTGCCGTCTATAATTATAAAAAAAAAATGAAATTCATCTGCAATAATATTACATTTATTTCTGCATTTTATTTAAAGTTTTTATTATATTTCTTAAATTTTAAATATATTTAAAATGTATTTAAAATTTTACAAAATCAGAATCAAAGCCAAATCGGTCTAACTGGATCTTAAATGCTTATATGATTCTTGTGTGAATTTACTACGTATGTAGTCCCCAGAAACGCGCGCCAAATTACTTTTCAATCTTGAAAACGCTAACTCTATTAAACTACCGCAGTACTTATACTCGTATTCATAGTCAGACCTTATATTTAAGGCTTCCTTAAATTTATCTTTAGATACTCTACAAATTATTTCATTGGCTGCTGAGCATCTAAAGATAAATTTAAGGAAGCCTTAAGTACAAAGTCTGATTATGAATACAGATGTTAATATCATGAATTAAATTGACTAACAATCATACAAGCATTTAAGATCCAGCTAGATCATTTAAGGCTTTGATTTCTATAATTTGTGTGTTATCACATATATAATATATTATATTGTTTAAAATTTTACATAATTTACGCATTTTTATTTCTTATAATCAAATTTTACTTTAAAGTGAGCGCCTGCAAAATGGGTCATCTTCTGACTAGTTCAACTATCAAAGCTGTCGTCTTTATATGCTACACCCATAAACATAATAAGAATAGACCGAGCGTGAGATTTGAAAATGCTAACTTTACTAAACGTGAAGACTAGATAAAAAAGAACGGACAATAGATGTCGTAAAGCTCTATATTCATAATAGAAGAATATAAGATATTTTGTTCCTGAGAATGCGCAGTAGTCCAAAATGCTCCAATCATAATTTTATTTAAAATTGTAAAAAGCAACATGGCTGCTACCATAGGTTAAGCTTGCTATTTAGATTAGAAGTGATCAAGAAGCAAAGCACAGTTAAACAGTAATAACAACAGTTAAAGTACATATGTACAACGATAACAACAGTGACAACAACAGTATATTAATAAATTTTAGTCAATCTTAAATATCAAATTACATTTATTAACATTATTACATTTATTAACATTATTGTCATTAATTTTATTAACATTATTTTATTTCATACTCCATTATTTTATTCATTTATGGGCTTTTGTATTTTTTCAAATTTAATTTTGTTTTTACAATTGTTATATATGTATTTTTACCAAATGCATTTGAATTTAGTGCTAAATTTTGGACAAATTTCTGATTGGTTAGTATTTTTCTAGTATTTTTATATTCTAGTATTTTTCCGCCATTATGCGCAATGAAATACCTTATATTCTTCTATCATGTCTATATCTATATCTATAAGCCTGGTCTACAATCAGTCGGGAGACATTGCAACCTTCATTTTTCGTGTCAGCTGTCGATGTCGGCTGCTGGGATCGTTGTTTGGATTAATCAGGTCTCATCTTTTATGACTAACGTTCGATAAGCATCAGTCGACTTGATTGTCTTAAACCCATTTTCAACCAATCATAGTCGAATGTGAGAAGGATAATCAACTATGATTAGTCAATTTTTACACCTACTTTTTAATCTATTACTGCTACTGCCCATTGTAAAATGGGCTTTAGAATTCGAGCACAAGAATTGTCGAAACACTTAGACTTAAGTTGTAGACGTAAGTAACGCACAAGCTTTGGTATATGATATACGACTTATTGCTGTCTCTTGGAGACACGGCAATAAGTTATATGTCATACGTGAAAGTTTGTATATTACGTTTACAATTTAAATCTAAGTAAGTGTAACAATTCTTGTGAGTTATATCAATTCAGACCTTTACTAAAGTAGCGCATTAGTTCATATTGGACTCAACTAACCTTACCATGTATCAATAGCACTTACTGGACTACAAACAACTAGAGACTCCAAGATGGCAGTCGAAATAGCCAATAGGAAGGCTGTCGACATTTTGGCTCAGATAAAAGAAATGCGCTACTTTATTATATAGAATTTTAGGATACCATGTGGCTCTTTCTTTCTGATGAGAAAAGAGAGAGGGAGGAGGGGAGAAGTAAGGTGTGAAAAAAAAAAGAAAAAGTAGAGAGACAGCAATATGCGGCGTAATTCGTTGGTATGGTAATGATGGATGGTAAATTCTATACATAAGATATGCAACATTCAATGTAAAGCAAATAATAGATAAATATTTACAAAACATTGAAGGAGTTTATTAATCTCAACAACAGGACAGGAGTCGATTGAATATATTGATATAAATATAGTAATTGAATATATTGATAGTAAATTCAATATGGCAGCTACGAATTACTCCAGCCAATCAGAGAAATATATCGATCACGTGACACTTTTCTCTGTAAGATAGGGAGCAGATTCTTCATAACATATAAAACATGAGGCATAAGAAAATCAACCAATCAGAATTCTTTATTTCATGGAAAGGAAAGAAGCGAAGGATTTTGATTGATACATTTTCTTATGCATAACGCATAAAACATGAGGCATAAGAAAATTAACCAAAGAGTCTTTTATTTCATGGAAAGAAAGAAAATAAAGAATTTCGATTGGTTCATTTTTTTATGCTTCATGTGTTATGCATTATGCAAGATATCTGTGCTTTCCACTTAAATACTTCATTTTATTTTAAATTATAATTTTCATGTTATCCAAGTTTGATATAAATAGAAATGATAAATGAAGAAACAAAATTCTAATTTTGTAACAATATATAAGATATTATAAATATGCATTATAAGTATGCATACTTACGAATAGACCATTTATATAACAACAAATTATGAATATAATAATGTATTAGCCACATATTTATTATATTAATAATCGTAAATTTATATCAATTATCGATAATATCATTCTTTAATTACCTCCGGGTTTTCGAGGCTTTTTATTGTAAGGACAAAAATTTGCCCAGGGAAATTAATCAAAAATTTTTTTTATTCAAATGTGGGAAAGTACTTTTTGTTTGGATTTAAACTTGAATTCATTTATATATAGGGTAGAGCGAGGCTAGTTGTGTGACACTTTTTTTTAAGTTATTATAAATTATGATAGACTAATAATAAATGCTTTAAAACCTTGCATGTTTATTTGGCTCAATAATTAAATATTTTTAAATCCTTAATATGTCTTGTAAAATAAGATAAAAATTACATTAATTAGATGCATTAAAGATGCAAAGTGGATCATTATGCTCCATCTGGAGCATGTTAAACATTCTTGAAGGATAAGTTGAGCCATGAAGATAATCGTTTAATGAGCTTATAATTATTATTATAATAATTATTATGTTCTAAATTATACAATTTGATAGATAGTATAAAATTACAGTATTTTAAGAATTTGATCAAATTATTGGCTTACAAACCTTTAGTCTCCACCGTAAAATAGTTTGTTTTGTCCGTGATGCCTTGCTCCAAACCAGGACCATATGCACGGCACTTACTGGGATCGGAAGCGCGTTGTACGTTGACGGAGAATGGTGAACCCGGAATGGGCACGTTGTCATAGAGAATGTCGATGGTGTAGCAACCCTCCTCGAAAGGCGTGTAACTGACGCAGTAGGTGCCATCACCCTGGGGGATGATGAGCTTCTCGGTTTTACCGCCACTGGGATTATTTATGATACAGGACACCTTACCGTCATCAGTCTTTGACTTGGTGATGTCTCTCGTGTCTATTGTG